CCAAATATTAAATTAGAATATAAAATCAGTAAAAGTCTTCCATTTCTTGATATTCTCCTTACAAATATCAATGGCACTCTATCAACATCCGTCTATCATAAACCAGCAGCAGAACCCTATGTTGTTCCATTTATTTCTGATCATCCTCGACATGTATTCGATAACATAGTACAAACAAGTCTTCGACGTACAATCAAATATTCATCAACTTTTCAATTATTCAATGATGAGCGAAGATATATCAAATCAACATTTTTGTACAATGGGTAAGTTTATTGTTGATACATTTACTATTCTCATAGATTTATTCTATAGTTACCCGTCTTCATTTATCGACAAAATGTTCAGAAAATTCTTTTCTGGCTACATATCATCTCGATCATTTCTACCATTTCTTGATAATGAAAGTCAATTCTCACAAATGCGTACTGTATTATCTGGACAACCAAGTCGACAACAATCTCAAGTCGAAATGAGAATTGCAACACTTACAACCGATAATGAACATTTAATTGAAGAACCGGATAACAAACAAGAATTAACCATTCAAGAAAATAAGAAACAAAATGAATTTCAAAAAAAGCTTATAATTCATTATACACATGAGAATCGATTTGATACATGTAAGCGCGACATGCATCGTATCTTTCAAGAAACAATTGCAAACAATCCAATAATCGAAACAAAACTGATCGTTGGGAACAGGAATCAGAGAAGCACAATGAGAGAATTGATTCGAAAACGTCCAACACACACGATACTCAAGAACAAAGCCAGAACGAGTAAGATGAATAAAAAACTAAAAAAAAAACAAATCATCCAAACATCAAATAATATACATTGATTTCTTGATTCTAGATGCAAACCAGGAAACGAACAGACATCATCAACTCAGAGCACAAAATCCAACAGCAAACAATCAAATATGAAACAAATATCATCATTATCTGAACCCATACAATATCCACTCAACGAACTATCTATGTAATTAATTCTTCTAACCTAATTCCGAATATTCAATAAAATAGAAAGGAGAATTTAAAATATTCTACCGTAAAGTAATTCAGAACTTTTTCTCTTTCCGAAAAAAAAAAACAAAATATCACACAATTAATTTCATATTACTCATATTTGCACCGATCAGCAATAAAAAACTTCTACAACTAATTTAAATTTTATTCTTTCTTTAAAAATATTTATCAATACCAATTTCAGTT